AATTTCATTTAAAATATCAGTTCTTTTAAGTTGTTCTCCTATGGCTACCCCTATTGTTATTTGTCTCAGGATCCATCAAATTTGAAGATATGGAAGTATATGCATATATAAATGAAAATAACATAAATTGATATAGTTTAGTAAAATGAATTTTGCATGCACAACACAGAAATCGTGATTTAATTATTTTTTTGAAAGGGAAAAACTGTGATTTAATTATTCATACTCAATAATTACATAGGTTCATGCATTGAAAAATAAAAAGGAATCAATAACTTTGTTGCACAATTTAATGAACTTCTTTTTTTGTAGGTACAAATAATGAACTTTATTTTATGATATTAAGATTATTAGTATGATTAAGACTGAGTTAGGTTACATTCTAAGTAATTAGCAAAATAAATAAATAAACATGACAGAGTTATTACATTTAATAAGAAATATAATTCTCTATCTATATACATACACATTGAGATTATTTGGATCAGGTATAAAAACAGATGCTATAACTATCGTATGAATGGATTAATTCGCTGATATTTTAACAAAAGCAACGGAAACATAAGATAACTCATCCAACATTATTTTGCAATCTCTAACAACTAAATCAAAACATAAAAATTAAGTCTATCAGACTTTAGAGAGTGAACCAAAACCTGACAGTCAGTTTCAATAAGGATAGGAGGGATGTGTAACTTAATCCAACTGAGAGTCTCCCAAAAACAAAGCGCCTCACCAAGTAATGGGTCATGAATCGCAGACTTTGAACAAAGACGACTTGCCACACAACATCCAAAAGCATCTCTAATCAACATCCCCATACCAAAAACGTGTTGTGATGAGACATCAACATTACATTTTAAAGTGGCTAAAATTGGAGGTTGTCATTTCAACGTTGCATAAGACACAATAGCAGGATTTAAAGCCTTGGAGAGCTGTACCTGTGCCATCGACCATTCTTTATGAAACTGTCGAGCATGAAGTAACACAGTAACCGGCTGAGAATTTCGTTTCTGCCATAGCATCTGATTTTGGTTCCATCATATGCTGTATAAAACCATTAAAGCTTCCTCAACTGTCCCTTTATCAAGAATAAAGGCTTAAGATTTATGCAAAAACGCTTAACCACATATTATACTGCCACCATAGTTCAAGAATAAAGGCTTATGATCAGGGCCTATTGCCTCCAAAACATGAACTGTTGCCTGACTAAACAGTTGAGTCCATAACGTTCTACCCACTGCTCTATCCAATCGCTCACAAACCATATCAAGCCTTCCATTTGTCCAGATAAACTTCGACCCCACATACCCTACGTTATGTAACTCGCAATCCTCCAAAGCTTTTTGAAAACCCTCCAACATCCACTGTGGCTGTGGATTTCAACTATCTTTCTCCGTAGAATAAAGCAGGTCATTAAAATCCCTTATTACAACCCACGATAAATTTGCCTTGTCTCGTAAGGAGCGCAATAGGTCCCAACTACGACGTCGTAAATGTCCTCCAGAAAACCATAGTATCTTTTCAAACGCCAAGTAGCCATCCCTTATTGTAACCTGGATATCAACATGTCTAGTTGAGAAACTTATTAGGCGAGCAACACCCTGCTCCTTCCAAAACAAAGCAATCCCACCACTCCTGCCTACTAGATCTATCACAAAAGCTCCTTAAAACCCAATTTATACTGAACTTAAAAACTTTATCTTTTGATATCATAGTCTCCATCAAAAAGATAAAGGTGGGCTTCTTTTCTGTAACAAGGTCTTGCAAGACCTAAACTGTTTGCAGGTTCCCAAGCCCACGGTAGTTCCAACTCAAAGTACTCATCATCCTTGGCGGGTATCAGAACCCGCCCCATTTAAGTTTTTTAGATCAGTTGTTGTCGTATCAGGAACCATTTCATCATCAAATCCACTATTAACTGAGTTCATATCCTCGTCACGGTTTGAATTTTGTCTCCTACGTTTGGAATCCACAATAACAAGACTAGATTCATGTACATCAATTAATGGATTTATTGCCACTGAGTTCTGGATTCCCTCATTACCGAGATTTACTCCATTATGCCCTCCTCCCTCCATAGAGACCCCCTTTCCTTTTGAATTTTGAATTACACCATTATCGTGCTTGTATATCCCGTAGGACTCGAGCTTTCCATATTCACCTATCCTCGAAGCAGCATCATAGCTGCCATCTCTGCCATTTTCAAAAAACTTTGCATAATCATCTTCTGACCTGAGCCATCGCGTTCCCACTTGAGAAAATCTACTTGGACTAGCCTTCAAGGACCATAAGGGAAAAGCCCCCAGGGATTTTGGTAGATCAAACAGCTTTGGACAAAATTTATCAGTATGGCCAATAAATCCACAAAAATAACAAAAGTTTTAAGAGTCTTTCGTATTGAAAATCAGCCCAGAACCAGCAACACCAGGCTTAGACAACTGCATTCTTCTCTTAAGTGGCTAATGAATATCCAGGCTTACACGAATCCGCATATATTCCCTCCAAAGGCCAGAATAATTACAAGGGTTTGATTCAATATATGTGCCCAAATAATTTCCAATATCTTGAGCAATAAATTCTAACATAAAGCCATCCTTCAGATTATGGACTTGCACCCAAAAATTTTTTGTTTTATTTTACAAAAATATATAATGAAAATTTTTAAGGTAAAAAAAAATTTAAAACAGTACTTATTGTAATAATCGATTGCATTAGTGACATGTTCATAAAATAGTTAAAAAAATATAATAAAGTTTTAAGATAAAGAATTAAATTTATTCTTTAAAATAAATATCTTTTATTCTAAAGGACAATAATAAAATAAGTATATATGACGTTATATTTAATAACTAATTGTATATATATATTTTACTTTTTAATATATAAATATTTTGATTAATAATAGAATTTTTTTACAATTTTTTGTTAATAATTATTTTGATTAATTGATAAATATTAACTAATAAAATGTCTATTCATATATACTATAAGGTTTCTTTTTTGCACTATAAATTATTTTTTCAGCAAACCTTTCTTTTTTATTTTCATAAATTATTATTAAATCAATTAGATTTTAGCTTAAGAGTAGGAGTTTACATTAAATGTATTTAAAAAAGAATTATAAAAATAAATTGCAGAGTGGTTGTTTAATAATCTATTAAAAAGTTTCCAAAAAACTATCAAAATAAAAAAATTATAGAAATAAAGAGAAACAGGAAAAACTCTAAAAATAGATTAAAATTTTTTTTAAAATTAATGTATAATGATTTTTTAATCTATCAAAAAGAAAAGCTATTAAAATAAAAAATATATAAATAAAATGGAAAAAGAAAAAACTATAAAAATAAACAGGGAAAAAGCAAATAAAAGACCAGGATACGGACGCTGATGGCTCGCTGGTCGTATTTCATAGATTGAATTCACACTTGAACCGCCATTACGGACAAGCGTATGCGTATTAGCAAACCAGTTAAAATTTTCAAGGACTAGGCCTCTTCCCCCAATTATTCCTCGCAGAGTGCCAGTAAGAAGACACGTGACAAAACATAACAGGTGCGTGCAGCTTTCTGACACGTGGGCAACATAGCCGGAGATTTGTAAAACGTGGCCTGACACATCATTGACCTGGAACAGGATGCAGAGACACGCATTGACCTAGAACAGCGTGCAGAGACATGTCATCCTAAAATACACGGTGTCTAACCACATCACTGGATCTTACACATGGCAAGACACGTGGTTCAACACGTCACTAGCTTTACACGTGGCCTTACAGCTAGAAAGACATGTCACTGGCCTACACGTGGGCGAACAAGTCAGCAGCCGGTACACGTAGGCTGACACCTGGAAAGACACGTCAACGGACTCCCACGTCGGAGGACACGTCATTAAGCTTTACACGTTGGTGGACACCTGGATTGACACGTCACCTGACTACATGTCGGCGAACACGTCAGCAGTCATCACACGTAGGCTGACACTTGGAGAGACACATCAATGTACTCCCACGTCGGAGACCACGTTATCTAATCTGTACACGTTGACGGACAGCTGGACCAACATGTCACCTACCTACCATGTCGGCGGACACGTCCGCTGTCAGTACACGTAGGCTGACACCTAGAAAGCACATCAACGGACTCCCACATCGGAGACCACGTCATCTAAGCTGTACACGTTGGCAAACAGCTGGACGGACACATCATTTGTTTCTGCACTTATGCTGACACCTAGAAACACACATAGGCAAACACGTAATCTTCTGTAGGCTGACACTTAAAACAACACGTTACCGCCATAGCACGTTGGTGGACACGTCACTGTACTTTACATGTACGCACACACCTGGAATGGACATGTAAGTGAGCATTACATGTAGGCTGACACCTAGAGCCCACGTCAATCCGTTTACATGTTGGCAGACACCTGGATGAACACGTCGCAGTGACACATTGGCGGAAGTCAGTGAGCATACAGTATGGCCGACACGTGGAGCGACGCGTCAGTCAGTTTCACACGTACGCTGACACATAAAACGACATTTCATCGTACTCACACGTGTCTTGACACATAATGAAGCTAATGCACACCTGGATCGACATGTCACTGCGTTTTGAACGTGAATTGGTGACATGCACGTGCATGGCATTTCGTTTATTTCATGCATTACAACTTTACACGTGGGAGTCAAAGATCTGATGAGGATGGACACGTCATGATTTTAAACATGTGTTAACATCAGGAAGGACACGTCATCAAACTTTAAAACGCTTATGCTAACTGGAGTGCCACCTCACCAAACTTTCCACGGTGACAGACACATCACCTACAAGTGTTTGACACCTGGAATGACGTTGCTAAGCTGTGAACGCAGTCAACACGTCATCCATTGGATAGACGTTACCTCTCTGTACACGTGGAAGACGTGGAATCTTTGACTAGAAACTTAGCTGTTAATGCCGAGAATAAAATGCAACAGGTGGACTGTTAAGTCACACTTGCATCGAAAGTTTGACTGATTTCCTTTTTTTTTTTTTGTGGAAAAACAATATCAAGTGTTCTATTACGTACAATATCAAAAGTTCGCAAGACACTCATTATCTACAAAATTTTGATAAAAATTCCGAGGGTTAAACCGCAAATACCCATTGTCTACAAAATTTTGGTCACTAGCAAGTATTCTGTGGATTAATTCTCCTCCTAGCTTCTCGCTTGTAGTATGGAGTTTCGTCTATTGTCCTCCTCACATAATCTACAAATGGTTGAGGTGTTCGAGGAGACTGTTCATTCAGAATTGGACTACTGCGCTCAGGTGTAAGAGGTGCCCTAACAGGAGTGCTAGGGAATGTATGCTGCTGAGTTGGCCGATTTCTGTGAGATGTCCTAACAAAATTTTTGACAAGAAATATTGTTCCTAACGCTGCGATAAAAGATACAGCTATGATCGGAAAATTGGTGCCTCCAAAAATCGTTTTTGACTCCGCTTCTGCTTCAGGTTCATAATTAACATCTATTTCTACTCTCTGACCTGTCAATGGAGAAGATAGAAATGTCATCTAAGCAGTTGAAAAGCGAAACCGTCATGTGTTAGCATTCAGGCAAACTAGGCTCACCGTTGGCTGGAAGTGAAATGATGATTTTGTCCTTCAATCTCTTGGCTTTAAGCATTTTCACCTGGAAATATCAACATAGTACTAATTTTTTTAAAAAGAATTATTAGGGGATTTGGGGTACCATTTTTTTCTTTTTCATTTTTCACCTCACTTTCAAACAAGATGAGTGTTCACATTTTGGGCAGGTCCCCGGAATTTTAAGAAAAATCATTAGGATTGAGTCGATTGATTTTTCCTTCATTATTAAGAAAGAAAGCAATTGGAATCATTTCTTTCTCAATTGCTAAATACTCACTTCAAGAAATTATTAATTGAAATGAAGCACCTAACTCACCTCAAACTGAGCACGACCGCCAATCCCAAAATCTTCTTTATGGATGGGGCTGATCTTTATCAAATCCTGGTTTTGCCATTGGATATCGACATCTGTCAACAAAATTATCAATCATGTTTAAAGTTTACAAGAGATTCAATTATATCTTTTAATCATCATAAAAATAGAAGTCTAAATGCTTGTAAGCTATAAAGTGTAGCAAAAATGCGAAGACAGAGAGATGAAGATGTACAATAAAGATAGGATAAGAAGTGACTGCACAATTAACTAGAGTGGATTGGCTGGCATCCATTGACAAAAAGTAATAGGAGAGCGGAAGTAGAGAAAGACATAAATAACATGGACCTTCACAGTAGAAAGTGACCTAGAAGGCTCCATTCGTGGACTGTACTCCAAGTCCCAACTGATTTAGATTTTAGAATTGATGCTTGGTCAAGCTGAGTTGAGTTTATTAGAAAATAAAGACCAAATCCACCTACTCTGACACTACCCCATGTAGGTTAGTTGAAATCCAATCGAAACTGAGAAAACCAATCCCGCTATGTTTAATCGAACAAAAGTGAAAAGGCATGAATATACATGCATAAATACATACATACATACTTGGACATATATATATATATATATATATATATATATATGCAACCGCGCACACAAAAAAAAGGACGAGTGACTTCTAATTTACCTGTATTACCCAAAACAGTTATGATAGTCTTGTTGGAGTCTGGCGTCAGATTCAACTGCATTAAACTCTGCAACATGAAACCATCACAGTATGACGTTTTAAATTCACATAAATAATTTGGTTGATCTAGAAAAGAATAAAATCATGGGAAATATTTCATCCGAAACAGTTCCCTCGTCTTTGTCACTGATTTTGAGGCGTTAGTAATCCTAGCAAAATAAGTTCTTGTTAAAGTGTAATACACAAACAAATGGATGAAACTGAATATAAAGCAATGTTGCAGGTGAATCCAAGATAATGGAGAAAGTATATGCGCAGGTTGCAGGTGTGTATGTGGTATGCATTTGTTCGTCCCACCATGTTACAGGACTAAATTACCTTGTCCATCTCCAATATTGAAAATCCTCCAATAAAAACTGCAGATGCAGATCCAGAGACGTGGCTAGCTTCTCTCAGTGAAGCATTGATAGAAACAGATATATATGGTCTCATGTCCTTCAATCTTGGCATTGAACGTACCAAATGCTCGGGTGAGTGTGGCAAGAAGAGGCAATAGGAATTACCACTAGAAGCATCCACCCATGGCTTTGCATACCTTCAGTCCAGAGAAAGAAACAATATAAAATATCAGGATAAGCCATCTAATTCATCATAGATACACCAGATGAAAGAGTCAGAGACATACCCAAGAAAAGGAGGATCAACCTTACAATCATAGGATATCTCTTTAGCATTTCCAACAGCATCAAACTTATTGTAAGTGCCACTGTTTCAAGCAAACAAAAAAACAGATGAATTAAATTTTATATATCCTTATCTGTCATCATTTATTTTTGTTAGTTTGAAGAACAGAAACACCGCAAGACAAATAATCCTTCACAGGAAGAAATTTTATGAGTAGCATATTGATGATAATATTGTCAACTGCACATCCAAGAAAATAAATTGCCTCTACATTTCATAATTATCAACAGCAGTTTTATTGCTTCTTTGAATGACATGAAATGATGGTAGTCATAATGATGCATGTTGCACTAATTTTTGGCATTGCATTTCATAAAATCAAACTGAAGAGAATTGGAACTTGATATGTAATTAGAAGTCCAAAAACATTCCAATGGCCTATGTTTATCAGTAGCAGGTAGCTGTCAATATCCATTTAAAATTTGATCAAAGGCATCTTATTTAATCAAAGATGCAGGAAAGCAACTTGCACACAATACGACTAAAAGTTTCATCTCTCTTGAAAAGGGCAAATATTTTAGGGTACTTACACAAAGCCTCTAGATATTTTGCCTTAAGACACTTTCATTCCAACTGTTTCAAAATTTGCAATTAGGCGTAGCTACGGTTCAGGAACCGCCGGTTCCGGTTCCAAATTTTTTAGAACCGGAACCGAACCGAAAACTAACGGTTCCGGTCACGGTTTGGCCGAACGGTTCCGGTTCCTTAACAGTTCCAAAACCGAGGGTTATGGCCGGTTTCGGACGGTTCCAACCGGTTTCGAATGATTCCGGACGGTTCCAACCGAAACTGGAACCGTCGGTTCCGACTGGTTTTGGAACCGCCGGTTCATGGTTCCAAAACTGGTGGAACCAGAACCGAACCGGTTGGACCGGTTCCGGTACCAGTTCGCACAGGTTCAAAACCGATGGTTTTGGTTCCGAAAACCAGATTATGGCCACCCCTATTTGCAATTTTAGTCCCTACACTACCAGTAGTGAAAGGTACAATGTTTTGAGAGACTAAAGTTAGTCATAAATATAACAACCAAAGAATAAAATGCAATTGAAATTTTAAAAATTTAGGGGACTAAAGTGCGATCTAATTTAAAATGTCAATGACGAAGGGTAATAATAAAAAATTAAAATCAAGAACCAAAATGTAGAGTCATTAATAAAACATAGAAAGCAAAATTGCTAATCTTGAAACAGGAAGGACCAGAATGTATAATATGGAAAACCTCAAAGCCCTTTTTGTAATCAATCAAATACTTTTACCAGGACGATTATTCACAAACCTTAGCTTCACAGGGAAGGTATATCCTTTTGTTGGGTGAGGAACATTTGTTAGCATCTGTTTTGGGGCATCAACTGAAACAATATTCCCTGATACCACTGTAACTGTTGTTTCCAACTTCGTATTTGGAGATTCAAAAAATACTGTTCAAAAAGAACAAATTCTGATCACTGATTCACAGCACTGACTAATTTTATGTAAACCTAAAGGTATAAAAAAAAAAAAAAAAAAAAAATTTCATTTGTTTTAATTCAGCACCTTGGGTTGAACCTATCCCAACTGTTTCAGCTCTTCCTGATGGCATATCTACAGATATGACACTTTTATTGGCACTGAGCCAGCGGCCTGAGACTTGACCATTAATGCCTACCATATGCAAGAGAGTAAGCAATCAGGTAGTGTCACATCAAATGAAAGATATGAAGATGAAAAGAACTTGTTGCTCTCAGATTAAAGTATAGATACTTGAAAATGTTGTAAAAGAAGCAGAAAGAAAGTTCAAAGCAATTGATCCTTGTAGGCCCACCTTCAACACCAAAATCGAGTGAAGTTCCTTGATGTAGGATGGCATTTTGAGGAAATATATGGGCACCAACAGAGATCTGAAAAATGAAGTATTCAGATGTCTTAAACTGAGGTAGTCAAATTTGATCAAACATCCAGCAAAAGAACACTGAGAAATAAACTAACTTGCGTACAAGGTTACTACCACATAATGACGAGTGGACATTCATCAATCTGTAAATAACACATTCCCTACACAAAAGTCTAAGCAGCTGAGGTAGACTGCTCATGAGTACCTCATAAAACCTCTGTTAACTTGCACCTATATGATTGTAAAGAAAGCAGGCACCAAGCAAGAAACATGATGATGATTGATCTCACCAATGTATTCACCGATGCTTGACCTAGGAATGTCCAAGGTGTGACCCAAGTCCCCACCATTCAATAAGTATCGAGTAATGCAACTGGTTATGAATGTATAAATATGTATGTACGTATGCATATATATGTGTGTGCATGTGTTTACACCAAAAATAACCACGAATAAAAGAACAGAGAAAAGCCAAAAAAACAAAAAGAAAAGTAGATATTAAATTTTAAAGAGCTGTAAAATGATGTACTAATAAATCTAAGCAAGTTCAAGCACATTAAGATGGGAAAGTAAATCCTTTACCTAAATCCTTTTCCACTTCCTAGATAACATGATGAACTCAGATTTCTACGATTTACAGAAATAAAAGCAAGCCTAGATGGCATGAATCACTCAAAGTGCAAACAGTTTCGTTATTCATGAAAAGGCGGACAGTTACCAGCATATAGTCAGACTTCTGTGGATTACTGTTGAAAGATACTCGTAAAAGAGCTCTACCATGTCGCATTGCCTTCAACCAGAAATGAATTTAGAGATTGCAGTTATTCATATGGCTGGGAAGATTTTGATAGATTTAATCAAAAATAAAATTCCAGCACATTTAAAAAAAAAAAAAAAAAAAAATTTCAACGCTCCATGCTAATGCAGGTTGTATGATTCCTACAAATTAACAATGTAAAATTAGGGGTAACTGGGTAAGCACTATTTGGTTTTGACTGAAACTGAATGTAACCGATTTAATTTGGTTATTTCAGTTTAGCTACAAAAAAAAAAAAAATTTTGAGCTGAATCACAAAACCAAAAAACCAAACCAAATTGGTTCGATTTGGTTCAGTTCTTCAACCAAATCCGATCCATTCATTTTTCTTTATCAAAAAATCAGTTAATTCAGTTTTGGCTATTGCTAACGCGAACCAAAATGAACCAAACAATGCTCACCCCTATGTAATGGCAGAAGGTCAAGACACTACCTACTCTTTGGCAACTTGTTCATAATACCATTTGAGAATTATTAACAATTTTGATAACTTTATCAACAGACCTTCAGATGGAGAGTACCACTGCCATTTTTTGTATCGATGGAGACAATATCATGATAGTTAGTTTCTGCATGATAGTGAACATTATGTGCTTCATAGAAGGGATTTCCTGGTAAAATTGAAAACCACAAGAACAATGAGAACCCAAATTTAGAGATATACTATAAATTAGTTTACACCAAAGGATAAATACCTAAAGCATCAAAATATCTTATGGGAAGATGAAGTTCAGTGCCAATAGCAACATGAATTACATGGAATGGAAACTCTTGACTTGTTATTCTTATTTGTGCTACCTGAAAAGAATACACAACATTGAAATAGTTTGTAAGACTGCCCAAAAAGTTGTCAAGGACGTAGATACAAAATGAAGAGCAGATAGTCAAAAGAAGAAAGCAAAGGTACCATAATCAACCAAAGACACACGTTGACGTTACAATGTCACAGTGATTGAGATTAGTTTTAAGAAAAAATTCAGAACCAGACCTTGTAGTTTAACGAAATTTCACTTAAAAAGCTCCATTTTTTACAGTCAGTCAGCATCTGAGATTTCTCAGTTAGTATCAGGTTGCTGGATATGATTAAATTTATGCATACTTAATACCCATAATGGTGTAAATAACACGTTATACAAAACCAAAGATCTACTAATAACATTTGCATATGCCTAAAGACATTTCTGTTTTTTTCTTCATCATGAACTTTTATTTCAGAATAATGCAGTGTTCCATAAGACGAAGATTATTCCGTTTCCTTCCTTATCAAAGAGGGGCCCCAGGGCTTCTTAATTGAAAAGGGGGAGTTAGGGGGGAAAGAAGAATGGAAATGCGGACCCTCACTTTATTGATGGGACATTTTGATCCCCTAGCTCAGCGAGTGAACAACCAGGTTTTGGTATCATGTAGATGCCACACGAATAACACTCAAGCACCAACATTTTATGCCTATATAAGTGCAATTTAATTGCATCAGCTTATTGAAGTAACAACTGAGAAACTTAAGCAAAATACCCAAACCCAAAAGACCTGAAGTGAAAATTTTCGTAAATTTTAAAACCACGTGATCCAGTTTTTTAACTTTTTCCTAAATTTTAAGCATTTGATGATATGAAGATACAACAATCACCAGTTGTTAGCTCTCAACAATTCTCAACAATTTTTATAGGAGAAATAGGAAGCCTCGATAGAGAGGATAAAACTCGTATAAATTTGCCTAAATTTTACACAATTAATTTTTTTATGCCTATAATGCTTCATTACACGAAGATTTGATGCTTCTACAATTTGTTTTGATGCCTTTAGTGCTTGGTTGCACCTCCTTGATAACTTCTAATGATAGTTAATTTTTAAAAGAAACAGGATTGAAACTAGCTCACAAGGATGAACCATAGACACAACCTAGCTTGTAAAGTACCAAGGCTATGTTTGGTAGAACACCATTGAATGTACTCAACATTCAAGAATGTGATGCAATGAGAAATATAATGCAAATACGACACAATACCCATTCTATTGCCATATGCTTGCAAAATGAGAACTAATATAATGTATAGACAACTTTCACTCTTATATTTAATTTAGATAATGCTGCTGGTCATGATGGAAAAGTGGTGCAATACAGCAAGGAAATGGAAGTGCAGGGATGGTGGCAACAGCAAGGAGGGGGTAGTGGCTACAGTCTCAACAGGGTTAGTGGTGTGGCAAAAACAATTAAGTAATTAAATCAAAGCATGATTAAATAAATTTGTGCATAATGGACATGATTGCATCAGTTAAAATTAATAATTTAATGTGTTGGGGCATTCTATATATTAGATGTTAGTTTTTTTGAATGGTATTAGATGTTAGTTATGCAACCAAACAAAATTAATTTGGCATGTAATCTAATCAGAATGGCATTTATTATATCACCATTAAACATAACCTAAGGTACAACTTTGAGACAACTCAACGCTACAACCATGTTCAATAGTAAAAGAATGTTGGGACAAATCTGACATCTAAACACAAACTGCCATTTTGTTAATCGCATGTCTCTCCAATAGCTTTCAAGTGTAAGAACTTGTGGGAGTAGGCTCTCAAACGCACTCTAAACCAGGTTATAGAATTTGTTACACTAAAGGCTTGGGTTAGAACAGTATAATTTATGACACTTCAAACCTATTACTTAAAAGGCATGCAACTTGGATTGTATTAAATATGATACAACAAAGACCATTATGAGAAATTTGATATCCACAATTCATAAGTTGCATGAACACAAATAGATACAATAATATAAATGCAATACTTAAAAGCAAAAAACAATAAATACCTCTGCAACCCTAACACAAGAAGCAATCTCAATCCTTCCTGTGGTTCGATCCTTAGCCTGTATGCATGCGAGATTGTTGCTCTCCATTGTTTTTATTCTATCCCCATCTATGGAAATTGCATCCTTTTGCCAAACTTCATTTTTTTCACAACTTCTTAACAAAGAATAGGTAATTGTGCCTTTGCGACTCTGGCCATCCCATTGGCCATGTGATTCCAAAGAAAAAGGCAAAATACTAGATGTGATGTAATGCGGGGGAAGAACCCATGTTATTGGAACTCCAAGAGCAAGAGGAAGATCAGGAACAACCAATAATGATGTAGATGCATTATAAAGCCTGGTCTCTGAGTAAGACGTAGAAACAAAATCACATGAGAATGTGACTGCAACAGTTGTCCTGCCTGCAGATCTGGGACAGAATGATAATTGCTCATGAGAAAAGCTAACAATGGCAGTGATAATTAAAATTTAGGATACTTCAAACCAAAATAAGATGCAAAATCTCATGAAAACAAACTTAAAACAGTTCAGCAATCTAAGATAAAATTTAAACGTAGCCACTAATGAATAACATATTCTTTAAAAGAAATCTTGGCGGTAAATAATACGACAACAAGCACTAAGCATATACAAAAGAATCCTCAATCGTCATAATACCATGGCATTCTCCAAACTTCCATTTTCCTTAAAGCCTGTGCAATCACAGCATAATTCAGATTCATCCCAATTAAAAAAAAAAAATGTAGGCTAGTAGTCTTAGCCTTCAGATGAATAAAAAGATAGAATTTCACCTTGACCATTGATCATGAAATCACGCTAAGTTTTAGGAGGTGCATCCTTAGGAAGCAAAATCTATTATAGCGTGGTTAAAATTAGGAAACAATTTTATTTATGGCAATATAAATAAATTTAATTATTAAAAAATTATTAATGGCTTTTTTGTAAATATAAATTATGTCCATGTCCTTTTTTGTCACTTCATGTGTTCCCGTTCATTTGTACAGTTCTATATATTATAGATTACAGATAAAATTTATAAAAAATATGCAACACAAGACATCTGCGAAAAGAGTTGCTATATCAGTTGTCTCCAAGTTTTTAACAAATTATGCTGCCTAGCATACCTTCCATGCAAGACTTTGATAAAACCAAGCTCTTCCTCGTCCCATTGGAACCAATTACTTTTACTATTTAAGCCTTCAGTCTTGTAGAAGTCCAAGACCTGAATTCATTTAGCAAACATACATGAGGAGAAGAAATCTGAAATAATGGTAGCAAGACATAGTTTCTTACCTTCTCATCATCTATAGTCCACTTGTATGCTTTACAGAGCTCATAAAAGGCAAATAGATCACCCTTACAACAAAAGTGATCCAGTCAAAACTTCAGAAGGCAACAGGAAAAATTAACAAAAAATTGTTTTTGGTTTTCTATTCTTGCCTCGGGAAATGAAGGATATATTGGCATGTCACTACCAACATCAAGTTGTTCACTCTGTGCATCCAATATTGCAGAAGAAGGAACTCCAACCCTAACATTGCCATATGCTTGACAAATCACAACATTTCCATTCCCATAAACTGTGGAAAGGATAGTCTGATCATAAAATCAACGCACAAAATGAGTCGAGTACAATACATTTATGTAAACAAGCTTACATTGCTTATCATAACTAAAAAATAAGAAAAAAGAAAATTTAGAATGCCAAAAATCATCAAATCAATTGTGGAGGAAACAGCAATCGCCTGGACTTGATTGCTTTAATTAATTTGTGTAGGAGATGCACTTTGAGTCCTTACTTCATTTAAATGAAATTCAAAATTTTGCAACATATTATGCAGGGTCCAGCTAGAGGACCAATAGGGAGATCCTAACTTGCATAAGTTCTGAAAAACAGCAGAGCTGATTATCTACCATGGACATGTTCTCTGAACAGGTGACTCCATTCGCAATCACCATGAAAGAGAGAAGTGCTTGTGTATTTGTTGGGGCAAAAGAAAAACAAAAATGAAGCCCTTATAGTGTTTCTATTCCAAAATTTACAGAAAATATAAGCTATAATCCTGCACAATCTTACATTTTAAAATTCTAGATTCAAAAGATAACATATCTCCATGTTAGGCACAAAAAAGTACAGCAAAAAAAAGGAATAGAAAAAACATATTGATGGAGATGCTAAACACTCTACAGTCCTCATAAGATACTTAAGCATGTCTTAACCAATCCACACTATTTTACGAAACTAAACAGTAGAAACTGCAATATCAAAATTCACAAGACTTAAGTTTCAGCTGGGCATCATATCTTACTGTGTTTCCAGGAGAAATTGCAGATAATTGGCCAGAAGATCTGTCAACAGTTGCTGTTCCACCATCCAAAGAAGAAAACTCAACATAGACACCAATAGTTGGACCTCCTTTCACAGTAAGCTAACCACCAAAAAAATGCCATCCAATCAATGAGAAACATGCAAAAGAAAAATAAATTAGAAACCAGAAAGAACTAAATTAAACAGAAAAGAGATATTTGAGAACCACGCACTAATATAATTTAACACAAATAATACAATAAAGTGAACAATAGAGAAGTCAAAATTAAAGAAACTACAAGAATTCTTCACTCCAAACTTAGATTACATCAAAAAGAAAAAGAGAAGTTAGCAAGATTCCAGATCATACCACATAAGATGAACCTGGTGCCAAGAATATATCATGTGGGTGAATTCTCAATGGTTCATAGACCTCTAGCTTTATTGGTTGGCTCAGTATTTCATGTCCTGATAGCTGCTTGGTACTGACCTGATTTAAAGATAAAAACATTAATAGGTATGATCCAAAGTGCATGTAAAAGTAAGCCAATGGACAATATAATAATATATAATGGCACAGGCTAAATCAAGAAGCTTACATAAAGAGTTGTGATCCCAAGATTCTTAGCAAAAATTGTGAACCTCGGTCCATTTATGTACCCAACACCAACATTTGGGGCATCATTTTCGTCTACAAGTTGAATTATATCATCCTCAATCCACACATGAATGTTCATGTAAGCATACTGCAACAAAATTTACAAACTTGAAAGTTTAGGGATCTTAAAACACACAAGAAAACATGGTTTCATATGCAAACTACTGCATACAAGCAGACATAAACACACACAACTTAAAAAAATGCAACCAGTTAATATGAAACAGGAGAGACCAACTAGATCAAGAGAATGTACAAGTCTCTATTCTTCCATGCATGTTCACACAAAAATATCTAAAACTCAAGTAAAAGTCTTCAACTAGATCCCGTTAGATCAATGCAAACCTGATTAGAGTCAAAAGTATGTCCATCATTAATCCCAGCCATTAGATCTATGGATGTTGACTGTCCCTCCTGAAATTATGAATCAGAAGATAAATATTAGTCCAAAACAAAATTAAAACACTCAGGTGCCACAAAACATACCATTAGGCTTATTTCTTCTCCCGCCACAATCTTAATCCAGTCTACTTCAGCTACTTGGACCTGGAAACATATAACACCATGAAAAACTGCACAAGAGATGTAGAGCAGCAAATAGAGCATTAAGGCATCTGGAATATTGCAAATGACTGAAGCAGAAAAGAAAAGCAAGGAGCTGAGAGTTTACAAAGTCAAATAACGTAAAAACTATTAGACTGCTAAAAAAATATTCATTATACGGATGCCCAAACATAAGATATTGCATTACCCATGGTTGAGGAACCTTGCAAGACAAAATTCTGAATTGTAATTATCATTACCTTTTTGTGCTTACTTGTTGAATCAACTATGCAACAGGCAAGACTTTCAATTGACACAATGATCACCAAACAAGCTTTTGAAAATTAGAAGATACATGATTACATACAATCCATGACCATTGTTGTGCTGCATGATGCAAACTTGGTGGAAATTTCATGTGTTTGCAGGCACTCACATTTTGTCATAACAGCAGTTAATAGGCAAATGAAATTACCAGAAAAGAACAAAAAGGGATGCTGGCCAAGTAAACCAGAATCATGTTACTAGTGTGCTAATGTAGATATATTATTCAGACATTATCATTAAATTCAAAATTAACTGAAAAATGCGGATTTATAGTTCATAAAGGATTCCCCTTGCACTTCAAGAATGCTATTTCTATATTTTGAATTCATGACCTCTGGCTCTGGGTCAAAATAGTTAAACCTTACCGTCAAATTTGAGAATACAAGAGAGAGTATCATATAGGCTTTAATGAAAAATTACATTATATGTTTCAAGAAAAATCATGGCTATTTTGCATTCAAAGAAAATGTAGAGAGAAAGATGTCCACAAACTTAATTTTGAGGAAGATACTACTCAGTAAGTTATTCATTTGCTTTATTGACATCTTAATGAAGGGTATGCACAATTATCATATCTCACTACCATAGTCCTTTTCAGTTAACTACAACTTAATTCCACACTAGTTGATTGTGGTTGTTATGTCAGTCCTTTCCTTTTGTTCCATCCAATTTAGGGATATATCTTCAAAAAGATCAAAGTTCACTAAGCCCTTTGTCACTACTCTATCCCCCCCAAAAAACACACACACACACACAAACATCATTATAGTCATTTCCCACAACTACAATATGTTCAACTTTCCATACCAGTACTTACCTATCTACGCCTCTATAATGCATATAAACAAATTATCTCAATATCTCCTCTCAACTTTCCATCAATAGGCAGTGTCAGTTAGTGGATGAGTTAATTTCGTACCAAGTCCATTTTGTATCTCTAAACATCCATCATAGCATAATAATTTCTGCTATGCTAATCTAATAATACCTTTCCTCTTAAGCTTGCTCAAAAGATATTTTCTTAAATATCTTCTAAGTTATAAGCATTCAGCAGAAGATCTGAAAATTTGTAATTATCAACACTAAAAACCAACTAAACAACTTCACATAAGGTGGTATAGTAACAAAAATGAAAAATAGGAGATGTGCATTACCACTGAAGAAGCTTGAATAGTAGGAGCAAGCCCAATATCATAAACTGTCACAAGTGCAGTTCCCAACCCTTTAGGAGAGACTGTCAACTGTGAGCACTGCAAGCCTGGTGGGGATTGAATAACTTCTGCCACAAGAGAATCATTCACAGCAGCTTCCAAGAAACAACTTCCACCAGTAATCGAAAGATTTACCTTAAAGAAGCAATTCAGGAGTAACATTTAACATGCTATCATTCAAGATAATATGTAAGCTATAATTCCATAATTTAGATATTTGGAACCATGTCAATGACATTAAACTCTTATGTGATAACAAAAAATGTAGTCATGCAGATAGCACAGTATTTTCTACTAGCATTGTAAACATGTTTTGCCCAATCCACTACTATCTCTGGATAATCTGTCATAGAGTCAGTAAGGGTCATTCAACATCATTTTAGATTTATTTGACTTCAAAAATTTTTATTCTAAGTACTACATTATACTCAAATATATTATATTTTTGGTACTCAAAATGGCATGTCTCATAATGTCCAATTTTATACTGGAACATATGGTGAAAAGCTAGGTCGCAATTGATTTGATGAACTAGGAAAAAATTGTTTTCTTGGCACATCAACCTACCACAATTTCAATATTCGAATTGTAGTTTACTTATATAAATCAAATAGTATGACAAAAATAAACAGATGTCAGCCTCCCAAGAATTTTTAAAGTGTGAAAACATGGGCAAAGATGTCAACTATGCTAGAGGAAAAAAAATTAGAACAAGGGCACATGGAGAAAAGCAATTTGTACAGCACTGAATCACAAAATTAATTGACAATGTAACACAAAATACTGTCAAAAGGTGAATAGAACAATCTCTGCACTTGCTGTCTCGTCAGTACAACTAATACAAAGAAAAAAAAGCTAAATGGCTAAAAATGGCATGACCTTTATTTCTTTTTTTTGTTTTTTGGAATTATCAATTTTAGCCAATGTTTTTAATTTTATCCATTTTATTCCCAGCCATTTATTCAAACGATACCTGATAACTAAAAAAAGCATAAACTTTTCACAAAAATTATCGATTTTATCCAATTCTCTTAATTCAATAAATACACTAATAGAATGCAAAAGTTGTTTTTACCATAGAAGTTATCTTTGGAGATGGGAGCTTTGAAGATGAAATTTGGCTTTCAAAACAAAAATAAAGGATGTTAGCTTATCATAATTTGATCTAAAAAAAAAAATGTGATACGTTTATTATAGAGACAAAGAAGTAGAGGAATACATCTCCAAAATGTGATTGAAGAAAGAAGAAGTATTTTGAAAAGATCAAAGACAGGAGATGAGTTAGTTGAAAGGAGGGAGACGTGCAAGTAATGAGAAAAAGGTAGCTAAAGGAAGAAGTAAATAACATAGTCTCGTAAAAGTAGGATGAAGATAAGGATACCTCGTAAAAATAGAAGTATACGTAGTCTTGTAAAAGTAGAAGCAAATCAGGGCAGTCTTGTAAAAGTAAGCTACTGAACTGTTGCTACAGCCAAAAGCCAATAGCAACTCCCTATATGAAATCCAAGACATGATTCTGTCAAGATGGCCATGACCAAGGTAAACCCAGACCACTTATCCTTTGCCATTCTTTTTCACGTTATATATAATAATATTGCAACCTCTATATGAGGATCACAAATTTTAATTAGCAAGAAAAGAACAAAAAAATAATAAGTTGCTTCAACGTTTTTTTTTTCTTTTTCCCATTTCGTCTTATGTGAAGCTGCAAAGTATGAAGGAAAAGGCACAAAAGCATGATAAGGAGTCCGCAAATAATTAACAGTACCAGAGAGACAGTATCAACAAGCATTAACAGTCAGACCTACCTTAGCAGTGGGATTGAAAAATAACAAGTTGAACTCGGGATTGACTCTTAATTTAGAAACAAGCTGCATATACAAAAAACCAAAAATAAGAACCAAACTAGACAGCAATAAAAAATAAAAATCAGCACTTCATCCTCATTAGAATAGAGGTCAGATATCTGATTCTCAAAAAAGAACAAATAGAAGATAGATATCTAAGCAACTTTTACAAAAAGACATAATCACAAGAGCAGACCTGTAAACGTATAGCATCTGTAAGAGCCATTCCTGAAATTGGCAACTGAGTAAAATAATGACTATCTCCGTTATCACGTAAGCCAACAGCAGCAGCTCGAACTATGCACTGAAAAAAGGATTCAACACTTCAGTTAATATATATACAGCATTAAGTCAAAGTTTCATACGCATGTATCTATATGTGTGTGTGCGCAGCATACTGCAGTTAAAACTCTCATGAATAAGTGAAATAGATACATTGCTAGAAAAGTAGCAAACATGCTATAAAGGTGAAGGAAAAGTTGTGGCAGTACCTCTCCTGATTCATTTTGCAAGACCAAAAGCCTCTCCCAACTTGACTTAGACCACTTGGCTTCATTTGCATAATCCCAATATGCTAGCCCTTCGCAGCTGGTCAATTCCCATTTCAAAGTAAGAGAAGATGAGTTTGCAAAAGCTTCTCCAGAAGCATCAAGGCCAACAGCAGCTATCCGAATAGTTTGCCCATTCGCCACTGTAATGGGACTGACATGGATTTGCCCTGTGCTGCGGTCAGCAAGAGCTGCCGTCCTTATAGCTTCATGTCTGTTAACTGAAGAACGGCACAGTCAGCCAATTCAAACTGGAAAAAACATTCAATCACATGTTTGTAAAATACAAACAATCCTCACCAGGTTCATCAACTATGAGTGCAATTGAAGAAGGAATGCTACATGTAAGAGAAAAAGTAACTTCTGCTATTGCTGGCAGAGGGTGGTCATCTCCAACCATATTTCCACGTTTTAAAACCAATTTCTGAGGCAATTGAAGTCATGTAAGAATATAAATCATGATTTCCATTCAAAAAGATATTAAGTAGAAAGAAGTTGATCAGAATGCACTGGCAAAATGATATTAGTAGCAGTAATGGAGAAACCAAAACTCACAAATACTCCCAGTGTTTGGCACAATACTCTATACACACTCTGATATCCCTCAGATACTGGACGTACAAGAACCCCATTCTCAGTGTAAGCATGCTTGTCAGCCAATACTTCCACATTTTCAATGAAATCAACACCTTTGTCCCAGCGTTCAGGTCCTCCAAGAAGAACAATATCTAAACTTGTTCCAGGGACAAGATATATCATCTCCAGGTTTTCCAGTTGATTACTTGCTTCGACATGAGCCAAATCAAACCAATACCCACCAAATTGGTTTCCATCACCTACTTGACGCACAACAAGCAGTGGATATGCTGCAATACGATATGATGCTTTCAAAATAACAGTTCCATGAAATGAATGATCATAGTGGTCATATTCTTTCGACAGAACCACATGCAGCATGGTCTGACCAGGAGCAGATGCATATATATAGGTCCATGAGCATGATGGACCATAAACTAAAACAGGCAGCTCATCGTTTCCTGGATTTTCTAAAACAGGTGGCACCTCTGTTGCATTGACAACAACAAAAGATTCACTTCCAGCTTTCCATTTCATGAATGAATGGAAAGCATCGCAACGATAGAAAAAGGCACCTGAAAATGGGAAAGACAAGTTAACTTAAAAATCAAACATCTATAACAAGAAAAGTATATTCCAGCTGATTGCAAGAAATTTAATCACCATTCAATGCTTTCATTGTCACAGCAGCAAGAAGATGTGATCCTACAACAGTCTCCACAGGGAAGTTTTGCAGCATAACCATGGATGACGGAATAGAAACTTCAACAACCACCTAGTAGAAGAGGAAAAAGAAAAAGATTGGTTAACAGCAATCACAAAGTGGACCCAAAGAGCAGAAAATGTATAATATCTAATTCTAAACTAGCCCAGATGGTAAAATTTCATATATCAACAGCAGAAGAAGCTATAACACAGTCAAGAGTGATTAACTTATTGCTTTTGTGAAGCTCCAGAAACTTCACTCAACACCCACCCCCAAAAGAGACACACATGCACAGATAAAATAAATAAATAAATGACATGGGAGAAACAGAGACCTCAGCAAGCATACTAGTTGGAATGATATTTACATCATTGGACATGCTTCTGAACAATAGGCATACATGCAAGGTACTCCAAAAGATATCACTTTGGGAAGCACTAATAACATAGCACCAGTAGTATCTTTGTAATGGCACAATCACCATTGAGGCATTGACATAGAATTGCCATTAGATACGGGGAGATCAAAGGACATTTGAGGTTTTGGAGAAAAAGCTACATCCATTTTTTTTTAATTAGATATAATATGGTCCCATTAAATGAAATGGAATTAATAAATCAAACATAAAAAAAAAAAAAAAGAAAAGAAAAAATGGAAACCACTCTAGATTATAGCTTCAGCAACAACGATGTCACTAGGGGTTGCCACCAGTCCGGTTCGAACCTGAACCAGACCGGGAAAAACCTGGACTGGAAACAGCCCAGGAACAGCGATCTTGAACCAGAGTAGGACTAACAGGGGAGAGCTCAGTTCCAAGCCCGCCCTCAAAGGCTTTGGGATCTAAAATCTTAAGGATTGTTTTAGGTCCCGCTTCATTTTCACTCTAGCCCTGAACCGCCAGTTCAATGAACCAGCCACTTAATCAACTCAGCAATTACAAATAAATTATGTGGATGTACTCAAGATGATTCACAAGGAACAAACAGCATGAAATGGATCTATCAAACTGTCATAAATACAGTTAAATGGTGCAATGCGGTAATGATAACACAAGTAATAAAATTGAAGGTGAGCAATACTTCAAAGTCCAACTTCTTGTTAAACAAGCTACTGTGTATGGGGGCAAAATCCTTTGATGTAAGGCAATGAGATGGAAAAAAGGAAGAAGAGAAAACCAGCAATGGAGCCAAACAAAGGAAGAGAGCTAGACAAGCAGAGACAAATATAAAAAGAGGACAGGTCTCCTCAACTCTGTTTTTCACTCAAAAACTGCAAGCAGAAGAATAAGCCTTAAAAGGAAGATCAGGAAAAGAGAACATATTATTCCAGTAACACTTTGATATTCTCTACCGTCAACTGGGAAATTCCAGTCATAAGGAAAACTTACAATAAGTTCTCAATACAAAAGATTTAAAAGAATATATAATGTATGTAAAATCCCTCACAGAAGTCTAAATAAATCCTACTTGATTGTGGAGAATATATGATGCAAGTAAAATCCCTCACAGAAGTCTAAATAAATCCTGCTTGATTTCCACAATTCTCTATCCCTCTCTCTTTATATGCCTCTCTTAGCAGCAGTTGAAATTCTCATTACTCATCACAAGAGACACAACTCAGTTTCCAGTACAAATAGCTCAGTATTAAAAACAAATTGATGATGCTTAGGATTTACAGAAATTCAATGGTTTCTAAAACTACAATTCCTAAAATAGAGAAAACTCATAAGATTATGTACAACAAGCAGCACACTATTCCAGATCACTAATCTCAATCATATTCTTTTGTTTTATATGATAATAAGAATGAAACCAGTAACTTCTCTTATATTTGGGTTTTAGCTCAGCTGGTATACCTGGGGGTATGCCATGTGAGGGTTGAATCAATCTTCCCCCAAGAACCAACAAAAATAAAAGTAAAAATGAAGATAGCTTGTAAATTATAAACACAATACCATACTACCTCATCATAATTGAATGAATCAAAAGCAGACACGACTCTGACTGTTGCTTTACCAGGCCTCTTTGCTCGAACAACCCCTGAAGCAGATATTGATACAATAGCCGCATCTGAAGAAAGCCATTCGTAATCACTAGATGTTTCTCCACAACCTACATGACACAATTGCTTTCTCTGTGATCAGAAGCAAGCTAAATACCTATGTAGTTATAATTGCACATATACAAACTACCAACCTCCAGTAGCCTTTAGTTCCACCTCCTGGTAAACACCTGGGGCCCAAGGAAGGAGAATAGTCTGAGATGTACCGCTTGTTCTATCCAAACTAAACTTCACTTGGTCACAAACGATTATTTCTTGCACAACCTCAATAACCTATGAAGAAACCAGAGCCAGATTAAAAAGTTAACCATTCAGCAATGGAATGGATGACCTGAGGACTGCCGGTGGAAAAAAGGAACAAATGCAAAATATTGTCAAAAGAAAAGCAAGAAATCTCACCTCCTTTGTCTCCTGGTGTCCACTAAAATAAGTTAAGGAAGCTGTCAGCTCTCCCAGCCCCTGGGAAGTTGCTTGCAGTATTCTAGAATTGTGCCAGCCATACTTGGCCTCAATATCCTCTAATGGCAAGGAAGTTGTCCAAAGACCAGAATGTTTGTCATGCAACTTAAGATCATCACTCTGCAATGCAGGAAAGAGAGAGTTAAGTGGAAGAAAATCAACAAATAGTGAGCAAAGTATCAGAATATTTTGGCAAACATCTTCCATGCCCAAGAAGTAATAACAAAGAAGTCTGAAGCAAATAAGTGGCAGAAGAGAGCAGACATCTAGGCAAAAAGACAAGTAAAACAATTATTCCACAAACTGAAAATTCAATAATAATTGGAAAATAGGAAATACAAGAGTATGAGCGCAGAGTCATGACATAAAAAAAAAATGCTGAGAGTAAAGCATAGATGGAAAACAAAACATGAACAACATCAGAATTGTTTCATACCTCTTTCACAGAAAAGTCGGTCCAAAATGCAATGACTTTGAAGATAAAGCCCATTCAACGGGTTCAACCATCTTTATGTTTCTTTCCTAAATTTCAATTGGTAGAATTTAAACATAGGATTTGCATAATAAAGCCAAGAATCAAGGGAACATTCATTTGGAGGGTAATGGGGGATAACAATTAAAAGGGTTAACTGCTTAGTCCCATTACCCTTGTTTGGTAGGTTTTCTTTACTTTTAAAGGGGTTAAAGGTTCTTTTTAGTTCAATTTTATTAATCCACTCTCACTAAGTTAAAGGGGCAAAGAATAGAGCGAAAAGGAAATATTTTTTTTAATATCCCATCAATATTAAATTAATATAATAAATATAATTTACTATAATAAAATATTAAAATAACATGATATTTTTAATAGAACATAATAATATTTTGATGTAACAATTTAAAATTATTTTATTTATCTGCATGTATCACGATTAAATTTTATTATATACTACAAAAATAATAAACATTATGTATTAGAATAAAAATAGTCATATAATATTAAAGTAATGTAGATAAATATTGTTTATTAGAATAGACAATTAAAATAATAATGATATAAAAATAATATTATTTTTAGAAAATATTTTCACAATATAATATAATATTCAATAATAATGAAATAAAATTTATCATAATTATAATATTTATCAATATTAAACTTATACCATACTAATTTAAATTACACCAAATTTTTTCTTTTAAAATTGTACCACAAAAAGTATTTCAAAACCTTATTATTTTGGACATAGCAAATATTGGAACAAAAGATTCATATAGCCGACTCCAACTAGTTTGGAACTAAGACTTAATTGTTATTGTTATTATTTGTTATTTTTATGCTTTTATAATTTTTATATTATAGCATCAATCTAGCGTTTTTAAACACCTACCAAACACACCAACCCATTACCCTATAATATTTATTCTCCTAACTGTTACACTCTTAAAGATTACCCTTGTATCCTTTAACCCCATTTATTAACCTCATACCAGGCATACTTTAAGACTTATCTTCACGTGGATCTATTAAATCTAACTATGACCATCCAGAAATAGAAATGCAACCAAAGAACTTAAGAAAAAAAAGCTCTATGGTTTCATGTTATTTCTTCCAATGCAATGTTACTTGACGAAATGCATGTTGGCAAAAAGAAAATACAATTGACAATGAACCTGTCAAAAATCAAGACTGGCAGCAATAGGAGAAAGATCGAGTTACCTCTGTAATGTAGATTTCATGCACATCAAGTCCCCGTGAGAAAACCTTCATTTGAATAAGATATTGACGCCCAGAAACAACATGCCAAGTTTCCTTAGATGGGAAGGCTTTCATTCCTTCCACGGGATCACCGGAATTCAATAATGGCATTATGTACAAGCGTAAACTATCTGGTAGAACCACATTAAGCGAAGACATTTGCATGTGACCAGCAACTCTAGTATCTTCGACAATGACAGTGGTTACGCCTAAGTACAGTGCACGAACAAAACCTATCTTTGAGCCCACCTCAGCAACAGAAGTGTTCAAAACAGACCAATTATGATGTGGAGATGGTAGAGTTACCACTGCAAATGACAACAGAAAAGGGTAGTAAGACGACGGAAACTGATATGAATGGTAAAACTTAATGTAACTTCTCAGCAACTTTACAATGGACCATAACATACCAATAGAAAAAAAAATAAGAATTTGATGGAAGAAAGAAACATATGAAAGGCCGTGACGATATTTCTATGCGGATGATGACAAAAGAATTAAATGCGCATTCGCACGCCCAAGCCAAGACAAGCCCAAAAATAGAATCCCAGTTGAAACTGTCCCTTTCAACTAAAATATTTTTCTTCCACCATTAGCAATTGATACTTAAGAGAATATTACATAAGTCCTACTCAAAGAAAATCTAAAGAGATAATGATTTGAACCACAATTTAAATCAGTGAAAGAAATCAAAATGTTTAGCTAGGTTAATGCTAAATTCAGAGTTCCATGTCACATAGCATAATTATGGCTTATGGAAGTAAACTCATCAAGCCTGATAGTGAACAAGAAATAAACCTTGTGGGATATTCCCACGGATAACTTTAAGGCTGTAATGAAAAGCAGCACCAATGAGGACAAAAACAGGTGAGGGAGGCTCAAGTGACATTGCTTCTGCCACTGTTAAAATAATCTTATCGGCCAGGTAATTGAATTGTGGCTCAAGCAAATGCACAGAAACCTTTTCATGTCCAATTCCAACCCCTTTCACCACATACAAATCTGAGAATACACCCTGCACCACAAATCATAGAAAACTGTGAGAGTCCTATACCAGAATCTGCTACGTCTTTGAAATGGCTTATTATATTATCAACTACTTGCAGACATACACTATCTTCAAGTTTTATTTGGATGTTTAAGTCACCACATAGTCCACCACAATCACTCAGGGGAGACTCCTTAAGAGGAACATGAACAAGGTGGTGGGGCAGTTCACCAGTTTCAGGAATCAGCTGCCACATGAATTGCAGGCCCACCAATGATGAGAATACGTTATCTGCAGTATAGGTTCGCAAGTGAATACAAACAAAACCACAGATGTATCAGTAAGTAGCAAGGGAAATGTGAGAATAAAATTGTCAACCTGAAAAGGTGGCTCAAAATTGAAACAGAATGTCATCTGACAAAAATATAACAAAATTCTTCCACAGCTAGCAGTAAGCAATTTGTACAAAAATTAGACAGAAACCAATGATTTTCAGCACAAGCAAAAATTCATCAATCTCATGTAAGATCATATCTGAGACTGAAATCATCTAGCGCCCAAGCACTCGGTAGGAAAAAATAAACACCAAGCTTGAAATTTAGTGAAACACACCATCAATTTCAAAAGAATTTGAAATTTATTTCAACCAATTCAGTGAAGGCTTTCTGTTCAATGTTTTGAATGGAGAGAAACCCTACAGTAGCTCTTAACTTTTTAACAATACATAACATCATGTAGGCGTTATTAGCATCAAAGATAAACCCAAATTTTCGGAGATTTAATTAATAAAACAAGTGATATAAAATTAAATTTTGATCAGAAATTCAGTAAAACCGTGTTGTTAAATTCACTAAAAAAATGGAATCATATATATTCATCAAAGAAAAAAAAATCTCAACAGCCAACAAAAAGGCATTAGCATATCAGACACCTTCACTATCAAAGGCACGGACGCGAAGAGTAGCAAGACCATCCAAATCCAGTTTAATAGAATTATGGAATATCTGAATTCTGGAAATGTTGTCAATGAAAACTTTGCAGCGAATAACGATTCCTGAGTGTACATCAGCAGCATAAACTGCAGTCTCCTTTCTACCACCGAAAGAAGCAATCGATCTCAATCGAGCACTCGTTGAGCAGTGGCTGGTTAAGTTATACTCAGGTAGAACAGATAAAATATCATGATGATCCCATGACCTGCAACAAGTTATTTACAGATCAGACATTTGAACAAACATTGAAACAGTAGAAACATATTGTAATACTAATTATCAGTATATTTATTTTAAAAAAAAGATCCAAAATCAAGCATTTAAAGATACTATTTGAGGCAGTAGCAGACATTTTCTAATACTGACAATAATAATAATTATTATTATTATTATTATTATATGTCGATGAAGAAGATACCATTTGAAGCAGCCATCACTTCCTTGAAGCCGGTACTCTACAGGATGCGTCATTTTTGGAGGCAAAAGTATGTTAACATCAGCAATGTGAGGACCAGAAGCCGAAAGCGACGCCCTTCCCTCCATCATCAAAAGAAGGAAAGCCGCCAAAATTGCCGTTCGAATTAGCATCTTCGAGTAAGTTAATCTAGCAGGAGATTTCGCTCAATAGATTGCAGCTAAAGTAGTTCTACTGACATCAACATAGTAATTGCCTAAGTTTAGCGAGAAATGGAGGGAAAATATTCGAGTTACGTTGAAGCAAAAATGGAAAACCCTAAAATCAGGGTTTTAGCGGTTTTAAGGAGGGGATCATAGAGGGACGTCGAGAGTATTCGAAACCAGTTTTTGGGGCATCAGCTCTCTCACCACTTGACGGGAACTTTCAATTAATTAAAAGAAAATTAACGCGGTGGAATAATAGAAATGGGACACACAGAAATTTATGTGATTCACTCTTAACTGTTTAGGGCTACGTCCACGGGACAAATTCTGAATAATTCTTCCACTATTAAAAATAATATGTACACAAAGAGGGTAATACAAAAATAGTGGCACTCAAAGTGTTTCTCAAAAACATCCCAAACTCACTATTTTTCTCTCCCCTAGTTTTAGAAAACCCTTCCTAAAACTCACAGAAATTTAATGTGATTCCACTCTCTTAACTGTTTAGGGCTACGTCCACGGGACAAATTGCTGAATAATTCTTCCACTATTAAAAATAAAATCATGTACACAAAGAGGGTAATACAAAATAGTTGGCACTCAAAGTGTTTCTCAAAAACATCCCAAACTCACTATTTTTTTTCTCTCCCCTAGTTAGAAAACCCTTCCTAAAATAGATAACCTTGCTACAATTTTTTTTTTCTTCTTCTTGTTTGTGTGTTTTTTTGTGTTTGTGGCTGTGCTTTAAATGAGCTTGTCTGCCTCCTTTTATAGGCAGTTCAGTGAATGAGTCGTGGTATAATTCATCCGTCTTTATACTTTGTCAAAGAAAAATTGCCTAACTTTTTCTTCTTTTCAAATAAACATGTTTTTCCTTTTTTTTTTCTTTTCAAAGCGGGTGGGTTCCTCATGTCGAGGGACCCAACATCCTCTCGCTCCCCCCCCCCCCGACGACATGGTGGACACCTCTCCATTCTTGGCCGCTTTGACACACAGCTTCAGACTTCTCTTTTTTAACCTCAGTTGGTTGACAGAGCAACAACTTCTCGTAATATTGACTGCCACGACCGGCTCCCTGAAATGTGATTGGATATCATGAAAATGCTATTTCACTGCAGTCCAATGTTTTGTTTCCAGGACTTTGAAAGAAACCGCTGACTCACTCTCCCGACTGAAGTGAGGCAATATCTGGCCGTGTACAAACCATAGCATCATTAAGCTTCCAACTTGCTGAAGCATATGGAATCTTTTTTTCCATTTCCTTTCTTCTCTTCTTCGTCCCATCGATAGAAGGGCAACTGTTTTGGAAGCTTTATTTAAAGTGATTAGCATAGAGGACAACAACTTAACCGCTTTAAGAATTTCCTCCATTATTCTCCATTTTAAACATTTGAAGTACTTTCTCAATGTTCTTCTCCTGTGACAACCATAATTTCTTGGATCTTCGATTCCTTGTAATCTTCATGCCAACAATTTGCTTTGCTGGTCCCAAGTCTTTCATAGCAAAAGACTTACTTAGCTATTTCTTCAAGCTATTAATTATGACCAACAATCAACATACCAACCACATAGAGCAAAAAAGAATATAGTCATCATCAGAGAATTTCTTCATAGAAACACAGTGATCTGAAGTAGTCTTTCTGTAGCCATGCTCCCCATAATAGACTCAAACTTCTTGTACCACTGTCTCGGTGCCTGCTTCAAGCCGTACAGGCTCTTCTTCAATTTGCAAACACAATCCTCTTTTCCTACGAAACCTCTGACTGCCCCATGTATATTTCTTCTTCCAAATCTCCATGTAGGAAGCCCATGTAGGAAGGTAGTCTTTCCATCCATTTTGCTCGTGATTTCAGATCAAAACTTTGTGGGCCATTCCGAGCATACTGTCCAATGGATGTCATTTTCACAACTGGTGAAAAGATTCAAAATCAATACCTTTCTTTGATTGAATCCTTTCACAACCAGTCTAATAGAAAAGCTTTGATCGTGGTTGGGGAGATGTGTTCTTTGCCTGCTTGATCTAAACACCACTTTGTTCTTCAAAAGCTTTCATTGCCCTATGAGGCAACTTCCAACCAGCTAAATGTTTCATATCATCCTCAT